CTGGGTAAAATTTAAAATGCTGGTCTTAACCTATAAAGCCCTTTATGGCTTGGTACCTGACCATTTCAGTCATGCTGGGGGAAGCAGCTGGTTATCCCCCATTTTCAGGAGGTTGGGGGACTGAAGCCCAGAAGCACTGTTTTTCCATGATGGAGCAAGCCCTCTGGAATGACCTCCCATTAGAGGTTAATTTGTCCCTGAAATTATCTGCCTTCTGGGAAAAGTTGAAAACAACTTTTCTGGAGGACTTTTGGGATTTGACACCAGTATTATATTGTTGAGTTTTTAATTATTTTCTTATATATTTTTGGTATTTTTATGCTCTTTGTTATTGTGAGCCACAAGAGTCTGTTTATGTTTGCAATGAGTTATAAAAGTCTGATAAATAAATAAAAAGAAATACATAAGACTGGCTGACTTGCATGAAACTACAGTATTATGAATATGTGTCTTCTAACAATTGAAGGATTGTCAGAGTGTGTGGGAGGAAACCTGTATATCCATTCACTCTGTTACCTTCTTTGGTTTATGTGTCTGGCTATCACATCAAACTGATACCTGAGAAATTGCTACATCTGAGGACTGTCACATATTCATTATGAAAATGAGGTTGACTCCATATCCCCTTTTAAGAAAATATAGATAGCCTCGCTTACCGACTGCCTCTTTTAGCAGTCAGTTCAAAGTTACAATGGTATTAAAAAAAAAAAAGCTTTGTGACCAATCCTTGCATTTACAACCATCACACTGACCCATGGTCATGTGATCACAATCTGGGTGCTTTGCAACTGGCGTGCATTTACAACCATCACAGCATCCCACAGTGATGTGATCGCCATTTGCGTGCTTCCCAACTGGCTTGTAACAAGCAGAGTTAATGGAAAACTGAAAGTAAAATTGTAAGTCGCAGTCATGTGATGTTTCACTTAATGACCATGGTGGTTCACTTAACGACAATGGGAAGTGACATAAGTCCATTGCAGTCATGTGATTTTCCACTTAGCAACCACAGTACTTAGCGACAGAATTGCTGGTTCCAATTGTGGCCATTACGCAAGGACTACCTGTATAGGGAAAAGTCAGATTTTCATACTTTTCTAATAATGGAAATATCATATATATATTTGTATAACAAAGTTTAGTAGCGGAACTATTGTACAATTTTATAACAGATTCAGTCTGCACATCATGCTTTTTGCATAGGGAAGCACAAGGGGATATGGGCTAATTTTAACCAACACAGGAAAATTTGAATTGGTGAAATTATTTTGGTTCTAGAGTGTTAACACAATACCAAATTAAAATGAAATAGCATGAAGTGGATAGCATGTCTAGCAAACAATGAATTCTTCTGTAACTCTGTAAGTAGGGAAGTTGAACAATTAATTGCTGTGATATATCAGAACAGATTCAGTAGCAGCATAAATGGGCATAGCAGTAGCAGCATAAATTTGTAAAGATCCATCACAAAATATTTGTGCCATAGTTTTTGGGTCAGAAATCATGTAAAAATTAATATGTTAAAAAAGTTGCATACCAAAACTCCACATATTAAAAATAACAGCATTCCAAAAAGTAGTATTAGATATAATTGCATATACTGCATGCATTAGAAACATTGTACATACAATCAGAGTGTGATGATCAAGGTTAACATAAGGCTTCCCTGAAAATAATGTTTACTCAAAGGGCATTTTTTTTCTTATACTAATCACCCATGGTTGCTCCTCTGAATGCCAATTTTGTTTTGTGTTTTTTTCTGCTTGGAAGAGAGGGCTAAGAACTGATATCATAGAAAAAGGATCTGAGCATGAAAGGCTTCAAGAAAGAATTTAACAAACAGCTGTTTAACATTCACATATAAAATGCTTTTTTAAAAATCAGTTTACAGGAAATGAATGAAAGAAAGGCTTTTATTTTTACAGGAGGCACCTCATGGCTGTTTGGTAGTCTTCCTGCCATGGGATGCAATAACACAAGCCAAAAGCTGTGAGTAAATTTAGATGACTTGACGGGCTTTTAATTTAGGAAAGTAAAAGAAAAATACCGTCACCCTCAAATACACAGATTAATACATTCTGTATAACAAATGGGCTAGTCTTTAAAGTGCCCCAAGAGCTTCTTACTACAAAACACTAACGCAGCTAGCATTCTGAAACATGATGTGAAGGTCCTTGGTCCTTGTTCTTCATGATGTTCAGACTGTATTTGTGATTACGCTGTTTCTTTTGTGTAGCATCAGACACATTGCATGTCTAGAGGCTCTCTTCCACACCTGAATTGTCCAGGTTTCTTGCAAGAATAAAATTGGACACAGCTTCTACTTGAACCTGTATACATTTAGTTAGTGTTGTCCCTTAGAACTTACTTGATGCTGAATATGCATAAGAGTGCAGCTATCAGGTTGCTTAATAGGATAAACACTGCACATATTTCCCCAGAGATAAAAGAATGCCTTCCTCATCAATTACTCAAGGCTTTCTGCAACTAGCCTTTTGCTTGCCACAGGAAAGGGATGAGAAAGATTTTTAAATGTCCCTTCTAGTTTCTATTGTACTTTGTCTCTACTGTCATTTCTTCACTGGCTTAGCTATAGCTCAGACTAGTGCAATTTTAGGGATACCTACATTCCCTCACAGTATTCCTCAGGCAAAGTTTCAGATGCTATGGAGGTCTGCAATTGTCTTCAACCAAACACCTCTATATCCATTGTAAATCTGCCAAGTTAATACATAGAAGCTGTAGGTGAAAAGGGTGCAGTTGCAATGTGTGATTCTGAATATCTACAAAAGACTTATATTGCAATACAATGGGGTTTAAGCTGCCAAGGATGATAGTCATAAAGCACAATCTTACCTAGCATGTTGCTCAGAAGTAAGTCCTGTTGTAAGGAACAGGTTTGTATAGGGGATCTTCCTGGATCCACCTGTGATGCTGGCTATCCACATAGCATAAGTGGCAAGGAGGATCTTTAATTAGCTTTGGCTGATAAAGCAGGTACATCCTACCTGAACAAAAGAAATCGCGTTTTCATTAATAACTTTAAGACTGAACTATTGCAATATGTTATCATAATTTGCAGTTAGCCCAAAATACAGCAGCACAGGTGATGGGTAGATGAAAAGTGAGTACCTTGAATTCAGTTTGTAGGTAAACCATAATATGATTTGTTTAGTTTTTCTTTGCATAATGTATGAATCCAGTCATTGTAGTTTGTAAACCATCAGTTATACTGAACTTCTTGTGTGAACCTAGCCAATGGTGTGTTTCATCAAACCAGGTATAAAAAAAAGACATGATTTACCACAATGTGTGAACTCAGTTAGTGGGACTTACACTCAGATACATATGCAGAGGATTGCACTATAATTAAAGTAAGAGCAGAGTCATTTCCTGCATAGTTGAATAGCTATATTCAACTATGTTGAATATATAATAGCTTGTACCAGTTGATTTCCTTGCCTTAAAGCCCTTTTGCAAGTTACTGACTTCCCTGCTAAAGTTATTTGAGCAATAAGAACCTTTCAGAATGCTACATTTTCTTGGAGTGGACAGAAGAAAGAGGAGATCTTCCCTTTAATTGTGTCTGATGCAGAGACGTTTTTTTAAAATTTGAGATTGAGAACCAGCACACTGCCATATGACTAAAGATTGATCGCATCAGGGGAAAAAAAGCTGCTGTAATGCCAAGTGTGTGCCTCAAAGATAAGGCTGTTTAACAGTATCACTCTGGCTGCTGAAAGCTTTGCAAATAGAATATTTAAAAAAGCAAATGTATTTTTATAAACACTTTGAATGTCTATAAGGTGAACAAATCAGAAGAGCTGCAAGCCACTGTAGGCGGAGAGTCATGATAGTCTGTGGTAGCAAAACACCATAGTCTGGCAGCACCTTTTCTGCCTAACACATTTTATTAAAAGGAATCAGCTTTCATGAGCTGCAGTTCATTTCATCAGATGCACAGTGAGGCATAGTGGACAAATGGGAGAAACTTTGCCCCAAAGAATTAACAGACACAAGTTTGGTAACAGGACTTAAAACAAGGACAAAGTACTATTGGATCATTTCAAAGCTCAGGGCACTCTGGTGCAGATCTCAAAGTGGCCATTTTGGAAAAACAAAACTTTAACAACACTATTGAGCAAGAGATTGCTGAACTCAAATATATCAACAGGTTTCAGAGTATTTCAAAAAGTTTCGGCAAATACAATGGGTTTTCAACATGTTACCATTTGTTTCAGTCAAGCCACTCTATGCATCTGATGAAGTAAGCTGCAGATGGCAAAAGTTTTGCCTTTTAATAATGTTTGTTAGATGGAAAAGTACTACTAGGCTCCTTCTGATTGTAAGTTGCATAGAAAACCTGAAAACAGAACAGTGGGCTAGATGATTAAGCAACCTGGACTACAACTTTCTAATAATCCCCCTTTAGAATACATTATAGTCAGAGATCATGGGAATTATAATCCTAAATGCCCAGAGGGCACCAGTTGTGCTGGACTACAATTCCAAGAAAGCACAGTCTGGAAATTATGGCCCTATATGATGCAAGAGCAGTAAATTGGGGAAGATTAATGCCTTCCACAGGGCTATATTTCATAGGAAGGTATCCACGGAAGGCCCATTGAATGGCTGGTTTTACTTACAAGCTACTTTTCATTGTGTGTTTTCATTATAATAGTTGCATATTAGAAAAAATGGTGTGATAAAGCTGAATGTACTTCAAAGTCAGACCAGAATTATATTTTTCTAAACATAATGGAATGTTGCAAAATTAATATGCAGTGCAATCTTTATTACTTGCCTAATTCATCAATTCCCAGCAGGAATAACATTTTACTCTGTTTCAGGAAAAATAGTCTCATAACTGTGTAACATGGGTCTACTGTTCTGGCAGAAGAAAAACTGAATGCATGAAACGGTAATCATATCATCAATATGATTAGGCCCAGGGAAAACTCATAAACCTAATAACTGTTTCTATTGATTATTTTATTTAGGATACAGCTGGACAAGAAAGGTACAGGACCATCACGACCGCTTATTACAGAGGAGCAATGGGATTTATCCTGATGTATGATGTTACTTGTGAAGAGTCCTTCAATGCTATACAAGACTGGTAGGAACAGTTCAGTGTTATGTCTTAAAAAAAACAGTTTTAGTAAAGGTAATCAAGTCTGAGATCAGCTTACACCACATTTTGTAAGACAGGAAAAGAAATCCAGCAGTTTAACAAAAGTCTTAATCTCATTTTATGCACTTCTATTTAATTATTTTGCTTGATATGGTCAAATAATTTCAGATTTCTAGTCCAATTCTATGCTCAGAGCTGCCACTGAATGCAATGGGACTAGATAAATATATGCATAAGATTGTTGAATGTCCTCAAAGATGCTCCATTAATGCACATCAGATATATTTTTCTTCTTTTCCTGGAACTATTTTGCAGTCCAAATATTCTACTAATGGCATTCACTGTCAACTCAAGTTCACTTCACAATGTCAGTGAATAACATCAGTCCTGTCTAATGTTTATTTATGAGATCTCAGAGCCACTCTAATTATACAGAGAGCGTCTGTATTACCAGAAGCTATACATCATTTTACCATCTGTGTGACAGTACGTTGTCCAACCTTCAAACACTGTAACAACATTTCTATCAATATAATTCTGATTCAAAACATCTGGCTGTGATCCAATATACTTGAATACATATTAGATTTAGATGGACAAGCTTGTCTTAGACTAGTCAAAAATCCTGGATCCAAATGAACCCCAAATTTCAGAACCTCTAAGATGTATCCACACATGTCTAGCCTTGGTGACAAAGCATGCTTTTCAGACTAGGCATCTTAAGCTAGTAAGTACACTGTTCAGGCCACCTTAAAGTGTCTAAATAAGTGAAATAAGCAGTCAGATCCAAGCAGACAGTTGCAATGCTTGAGTTGACCTTAATTAAATGGCTGCCAGAGTAGGCATGGATAGCAACATAATACCCACTTCCAAGAAGGTAAGTTAGTGTTCCTTTCCCTCTAGCCCATCGCCTCAGGATGATCCTGGTAGCTCCAAGCTTATATATGCCTTTTTTCTTTGTAAAAAAAGTACTGGGCCATAACCACTTGCCATTTTTGCTTGTTGAGAATGCTGATGGTGCCCATGTAGGATCAAAAGCATTCCTGGAAATAAAGATAATACTAGAGACTGGAGTTTACCACTTTCCCATTTTAGAATTGAAAACAAATGTTTTAAAAATTAGAATCATGCAGGGACTAAGAGGGATATGTTTGGTGTCAGTGTGGTGAGGACCCCAACCTCAATAAAATGCATGAGATAAAGTACTATTGCTCTCAACTATATCCATCTTTTGTAATGTACCATGAATGCTGTGAAATATTAAGTTTATCATAGATAACAGCATATGGATGTTTCAAAGTTGCATAAATCTGGGCTTTATTCACTTTGATCCCAACTTAGAGTTATTTGAGATACAAAAATTATCCCTTTCCCCCCACCTCCATTTAATGGTCCAGAAAGTTATAGAAGTTGAGCTGCAATATTACATCACTCATCAGAGACATAATCCTCTTAAAATCAATGGGGCTGACTAATGTTAAGTGGAACAATTACCTAGTGATGTCCTCCAAGGAGAAGACAAACATTTCCTAGTTTGTATTTCTTCACTGAGTAAGTTGTTGGATTTGATGGCTTAGATGTTCCCTTCTATAGAATTATCATAATTATGAGTAGTCCTGCATAAAAGTATACAAAATACCCACAAATCCATGGCATTCTGTTGAGAGAACATGAACATCAGTCAGCCTTATAAAGTCACTTCTAGCACCTAAAAATGCCAATTTGTATAAGTCTGTTTGCCTTCAGTTTATATATATAATTTCTATGACAAGGTTCCTGCATAATTATTTTTAAACAAGAAGTCCTCCTCTGTCTTTGACCCCAGAGAATGTAAAGGGCAATAACTGAAAAAGTGTAGTTATCCTCATCCTAGGGAAACAGTAATAGGGAACATTCATCCATCGTCTTTCTGTTCGTCAAACAGCTATCAGTGATAGCTTTGTCAGAACACAGTGCCAACCCTAACTCTGTGATGATACAACACTTCTCAGACAGCTGACATCCTTTTTCTTCTTTAAATCACACCTCCTTGCAATAATTATTTCACACATCAAGTAGTGGTTTTAATTTATGACTTTTCATAAAATGACAAATATATTTCTTCTTGTAGCAACCTTGCACTACGCCAATTTGGATAATGTGGCTATTACCCTCTGTAATGCAGTTAGACTGAGTAAAACCTTCCCCATCATGAGCTTAACAGCATGGTTCTAGGTCAGCAAAACAGCATGCAATATTATTGGAAGGATCTGTCAGCTTAAACTGTATACAGTTATTAAATTCACATGTTTTAGGGCAATATGGGTGACTGCATCTTCATCATGCAAGAAGCTGGGGAAATCACCATGTAGTAAAAGAGTAATTCTCTAAGGGTTCTTTCTTATGTTACTGCTCTTTTTCCACCCTTGAGACAGGAGAAATATATATTGGCATAAGGTGCACTGTTCCCCTACCTATCTTTACTGTACCTGAGCAACCAGGCTGCACAATGTTACTTTTCTTACACAATTTAATGTGGGATAATTTCAAGGCAGCAACTGTTGGATTCCCAAACTTCCTTCCTCCCACCCTCCAACATCATGTCCCAAAGGGAAAACTAACCATCACCTGTTGGCCTGAATATGTGTTGAACAGGGTTGGGAGCTCAACCCTTAATTTTTACTGTTTACTTATTTAGCCTTGTTTTTATTATTTCCTGTCTGCTTCTTCCGACAGGAATTTTGCTCCTTTCAAGTGATTGATAATCCTATGAGATGATTTCATAGATGGCATCATCTTGAGGTTGTCTGGATTCCAACCTCCCTGTTCTGGGAATGATAACAGTCCCCACTCCCCACCCAAAGTCTGCCTGAGTGATTGGAAGAGCTGATTTGAAATATACTGTATAGCAGAAGAAACGAAACCAGAGGGTTCTCAGTGCTTTTGTGCCTCTGGATCTTTCATTCCTTTCTTCTTCCTGAAGCCATTTTCCCTTTGAATTATTTTTGACCATGCAAAGAACCCTTCTCGAGCTCATCTTCCATTCCACATTTGTGTCTATGTGTGTCACACATTTTTCATGCTTTATAATATGCACAGCACACACATATATCACACACACAGGCCAAATAGCAGTATTCCTAGCTGACAGCTCTATCAATCTCCTGGGAGTTTGTTATTCCAATCAAAGAGAAACAGATGAGGTGTTTACTCTCTCTCGTGGCCAAAGTCAAAATGGCCATGGAAGTACTGTGCCCAGTGACTATATGGGAGTGGCATTTCCACAGCAGGCTTGCCAGGCCAACAGGAGTTGAGTAGATTGCTGCTCTGACTGGGTCATCCCCAGACTCATTCCAGAGGCACCCTAGATTATCTGCAGGAGAACTCTTGGGTAGAGAGAAGAAGAGAAACACCCCTTCCAAACTAGAACAATTAAAGATGTTTCAAGGCTGCCTCAGGGCTGAGGGTGAGGTGGAGGTAAGGTCATAAGGACCTGCCTTCAAAAATGGTTTGTACAGCATCTTCATGCCTTAGAAAGCAAAATGTGATGATGAGCCCTGAAAGCAGCCACTGAAATGTAAGGGAATGGAGCATTATTGAATACATCACTTTCACCTATCATGGTCACTATTCTCTTTAGAATGGTGCCAAACAGAAGAACTAGCTGGATTCACTGCTTAGCAGAAATATTCAATTATACATACACACAATTACTGTACGCTCTGTAATTTTTCAGTTTTGTTACTTTGTAACTTTGTTACAAAAGTTACTTTGTTACTTTTGAAACAACATTTAATAGACTGCCATTGATTATGACTACTGGTAAGATAGCTGGGGACTGCTCTGAAATAAGTATTTTTTTCTGAATTACTCATATGAGGTTGATTTATGCAACCAGTCTTGAAGGAGAAAGAGATTCACACTTAGTTTTCACTTAGTATCTCCTGGTAGGGTGTTTTTGTGAAGCAAAATCATGCTGCCATTTTAAAACGGATATTTTTCTTTCTAATTTTATCACAGACGATCACTTTTAGAAGATGACTTTATCTTTTGAAAGTAGAGGTTGACATAATTTATAGATTTTTCCCCAACTGCAGAAATGTTTCTTTGAGACATGTCTTTGTATTTTTTTAGTGGTGGAAAGTGGTACAAATGATCATTGTTTCTCAGGAATCTTATCTGCTTATGATCTTGCAAACAGTATCCCAATTAAACTGAATTCAGTTTAGTGACCACTCGTTTAGTGACCACAATTGGGACTGGCAACTTGGTCGCTAAGTGATGCAGTTACTAAGTGGAAAATCACATGACCACAACTGTGCTTATGATTTTACTACAGCTTTCCTTTCCCTCACTCTTCCACCTTTTGGAATGTTTACCCCAGGGCTGGGATAATTAGCAAGAAGGGAATTAATGTTTGTATTTACATTCACTGGAGTGGAAGGGATTAGAAGAGAGTAAGCAGCCACACAATGGGGAAAGGAATGCACTAGCACCGGCTGTTTCCCTAGCGCCCCCAGCTCTGCTTAGGAGGCAAACAAAGCCAAAGGTGTGAAAGTAATTAAAGTTTTGTCAGTTACAGGCAGCAGCTGCAAGCCGGCTAATTAAGGTCACCGAACTGAGCTTGTTAACATTTGCACCTTTTGGGGAAGAGCTGTGCTGCAGAGAAAAGCAGCTCAAGAAGAGATCACTTGTTTAAGTAATCTCTCCACTCTGCCGGGGGGGTGTGTGTGTGAGAAAAAATGGGTCAGGCACAGGACAGTGTGTACTAACTGTAATGATGACTGAGAGAGAGAGAGATGCTATGAAAATCGTAAATACGTGCCTTGGTCGCAAAGTTATTTTTTCAGCACTGTCTTAACTTTGAATGGTTGCTGTATGAGGCAGTCGGTAAGTGAGGTCCATCTGTAAACATATTATTTCTTCAAATGTACGGCTTAGATATTAGTGCTACTATAAATATCTTAATATATGAAGCTGTTTTGCTTCATGCACACGTTAATCCTTTAT